AAATTTTAATCCCATCGGTTAAGCCGTTTCAGAGAAAGTTTCCTCTTACCGACTCTTAAAATAGAGTTTCAAAAAAAAGTGTATTTAAGTTTTTTAAAAACATTTACACTTAGTCAAACTACTTCGCCTGTGCTGCACCTATTTTCGACCGCCAAGAGACGTCCTTAATGGAACGAGTATATCTTCCAAACTGTTAAACCGATCAACCTGAGACTTTGGCAAAATATTTTCAAATATGTGTGCATTCGGAAAAATTACAAATGGATATACTATAACCCCTTGAAGCAAATATCATAATGTCTTCTTCTTCTCTTCCAGGAGTACATACTTAGTGAGTCTCCACCAAAGAAAAGGGCTTAAGTGGTTGAGCGAAAGTAAAATCTGAAGAATTGCAGCACTTAAATAAAAACAATCGCTGTAAAAGCGTAAAGAGTAAAATACAAAAAAAAAAATGTATGTATGTATATGTATGTGTAAATCTTGACTTTCTTATCACTTTGCTGTTGAATTGAAGTTTTTACAGACATTAATGCCAGCTGACACACATTTCTTTGTTTTAAGAGAGCTTCTTTGAAACTTTTTTAAAATTACATATATAAATATGTGTATATACATATGTTGATTTGTATATTAATATAATTATTACACACATATAAACGTAAGTTAAACTGATTTTTAATATGAAAAGAAAAATCAGCCACAAGAATACATTAAAGAAGAAATGAAGATGAAAATAAAATAAAAACATTTTCCACCCGCCATTTTTGTGCGTGTGGGAGAGTCATATATATAATATAAATATATATATAACATATATATTGTATACGACGTATGTGCATCAATATTTTAGTCCATTACGTAAATTTTGAACAACAGTTGTTGCCTTCTAAATATATTTTTTCCCCCGCATTTTTACATTCACTTTCGTTAAACCGGAGTAGGGCAACAGTTTGTTGTAAAGAATTCAGTCTGAGTGAGTGGGACTGGGATAAAAGCATTTAAAATGTTTTGCTTTGCAAAAATATAAATGAAAAAAAGTTAAAAAAAAAAATTTGCAAACAATAAGTTATTTTTATTTGTTGTTGCTATGGCATAACTTAAAAGTTTTGTTGCGTAAAAAAAAAGTAGTAAGAATGCGAGCCAAGCGATGGAGGGAAAGAGGTGGCCAGAAATCAAAAGAAACATTACTGAGTAAAAAAAAAAGAAAAAAAAGGTCGATAGAAACCAAAAAGTCTGTAAAAGTAAAAGTTGGTAATTGTTGGAGCAGAAGTGCTAACCATTATTATAACAGAAAATAGGTGAGTGGAAAGAGGAAATAGAAACGTTAATAAAAGTATAAATAAAAATAGGCAGCAAGGTTTGCCTAAATTCCAAATTTAGAAAAATTAAATAATTTAATTTACAGACATGTCAGTTTTGTGATTTGAAAAGTACGGTGCCGTATTTTGACAACTGTCAAATTTATACTTTCAAACGAAACATGTTTGGTTTGAGTTGAAAGTCAGTCATATATGAAAATGGATCGCTTAGTAACCAAACAAAGCAGCCGACCGTTGAGCTTAGTCAACTGCCAAATTTAACTTACAAACCAAACATGTTTTGTTTTAGTTTAAGGTCAGTCATTTATGAAAATGTATCACTTAGTAACCACACAAAGCAGCCGACCGTAAAACTATGACAACTGTGAAATTTAATTTACAAACCAAACATGTTTTGTTTTAGTTTAACGTCAGTCATATATGGGAATGGCTCGCTTAGTAACCATACAGAGACTTCAGCCGACCGTTGAACTTTGTCAACTGTTAAATTTAACGTAAAAACCAAACATGTTTTGTTTTAGTTGAAAAACAATCATTCAGGAAAATGGCTCGCTTAGTAACCTTACAGAGACTGTAGTAGACCGTTGAACTTAATCAACTATTAAATTTGGCTTACAAACCAAACATGTTTTGTTTTAGTTGAAAGTCAGACATTTATGAAAATGGATCGCTTAGTACCATACAGAGACTGTAGCCGACCGTTGAGCTTTGACAACTGCCAAATTTAACTTACAAACCAAACATGTTTTGTTTTCGTTTAAAGTCAGACGTATATGAAAATGAATCGATTAGTTACCACACAGCGACAGCAGCCGACCGTTGAAATCTCTCTCTCTCTCTCACTGGTTATCCCCTTAAAGCAATTTTCCTGAGTGTCGGCCACCATTCGCTGAAGTCGTATAGTGGCATTGATCTAACTACCGATATAAAGTTCCAGCCTTAGAAGCCATCATCTTCTTATCGCTGTTTTGTAAGCGTAAAGTGCATTTAAAGCCTTCCTTGACCTTTCTGCTGTGTTCCGGCTCCAATTGATTTCGCCATCTAAGATTGCCCCGAAACATTTGGCTTCGGTAGAGAGGGTGATCTTCACGCCTTGAGTATATGTGGCTTAGAAGCAGGCGACGGTAAATAGTGGTATCTCGCGTTACCTGAACTTTAAATCTAACCCTTTGTCCTTGCGCTAATTCCCCACAATTTGTTAGGCATTTTTGGATCAAATCCCTTAAATTTGTTGTTGCTTATCTCTTTGTACAAATATTTGAGCTAAAGAACATTTTAAAATATTTATTTAATATAATTATAAGCTTTTGAAAATCTTCAAAGTATTTTTATCATTTTTTTTCTTCTTTTTTTCTTATCAACATGCAAATGCTACTGCAGCGCACAACTGCTACTGCTGCCTGTTTTGCGCTGCACTAAATTCAACTCCGGCTGGTATTGGCGTAAATATTCGTATTGCGCATTGTTGATGGCGCCTCGTCGCTTACTACGTATAACAGCCACTGCGACATCATAGCTCATGCCCAACTCGATCAGTGCTATAGCCACCAGCACCGCAGCACGTCCCAGACCGCTATTACAGTGCACGGCCACACAAGTATCCGGATTTTCCGTCATATTTTCATGCAAAATGCGGAACCATTGTTTCTTCAGACGTTCGTCGGGATCTGTACCCTCGGCGAAATTTAAGCTCTTCACATTAATATCTGCGGCTTTGAAGGGTTCTGTATCGTAGTGCACTTCACAAATACCAACCAATAGTGAGACATTGCAACGTTGCAGATTCTGTACGTAACGCATAATTGTCACCTCATTCGGCGTGTCGGTGATGAGGAAGCGCATGCCAGCGAATTCGATGATTTCCGTTTGCGTTGATGGTCGTACGGTCACCATTGGCGGTGCTGAGTCCTCCGGAGTGTCAGTGCTGAGACGTTGTCCCACGTTTTGGCAGTATTTTTTATACTTTTTATAGAAATTTGAGTCTAATCTGGGAACTTTTTTCAAAGTTCACAATTTTTTCTTTTGAAATTTTACGAAAATTGAACTGAGTTTGTAGACATAAACAAAACAAAATTAATACAAAAAATACTTCAAAAAAATATTTGAAAGTTCATAAACACTCACTGCGAAGAGGAGTGATTTGATTATTGGATTTTTTCCTCGAGCTGTTGCATACATTTAGGCATGTAAATAACAGAAAATGGCACTCACCTGTAAAGAAAAGAAAATTATTAAATTAAAGGGAGGTTAAATATTCATTATTAGTCTCTAAAGAGCAATCAAAGATTATGTAGGCATTTAGGCGTTTTAAAATTCAGTCAAGCAAAAGTTTTTCATGAGTCAATCAGTTAAGTTGAATTTCGAACCCATCTAAAAGCACACACACACTTTCCCTCTCTCAATATGCACTCATTTAAAAGCATCCTGGTACTTTAAAAATTGCCGGATGACCCTAAAATCATGCTTGATACCGTTTTGCAAACTCAAACTTTTCCACTCGTCAAACACATGAAAAGGTCATTTTGAAAAATTCCAGTAAACAAACAAGAGATTAACGGCCAGGGTAACAGACAACCCGTAACGCTCGATTGACTCAAACAAACAAACAACAAGTACGGCCAAAACTGATATAAATGTACGCGCAGCAATATCGACGTACAGAAAACTTTAATAAAAGAGAAAATAACTAACCGGATTAAAAAAAGAATTACAATAAGATAAATCAAATTAAGGCAAATTAAAAAAAAATTTAAATAAATTAAAATGAACTAAAAACAAATTAACAAAATAAAATAAAATGAAATCAAATAAAACAAAATAAAGTAAATTAAAGAGAAATAAAAATAAATTAAGTTAAATAAAAAATAACTTAGATAAAACAAAATAAAAAAAAATTATAAAGTAACTTTACTTAATATTAAATAAAATGAAATAAAATAAAATAAAATAATATAAAGTTGAATTAAATTAAATAATATAAAAAATACAATAAAATAAAATAAATAATAATAAAATATAAATTAAGTTAAAAAAATAAAATAAAACAAATTAAAAATAAATAAAAGTAAAATAAAAATATATAAAACAAATCAAAATAAATTAATATAAAATTAAAAAAAAATTAAATATAATTAATTAAACTAATTTAATTTAAATTTTATGCCCCAAAAAACTTAAAATCAAAAACAGTTCAACAAAATAAAATAAAATAAAATAAAATAAAATAAAATAAAATAAAATAAAATAAAATAAAATAAAATAAAATAAAATAAAATAAAATAAAATAAAAAAAAATAAAATAAAATAAAATAAAATAAAATTAAACAAAATGAAATAAAAAAAAAAATAAAATAAAATAAAATTAAATAAAATAGAATAAAATAAAAAAATAATATATAGTAAAGTATAGTGAAATAAAATAAAACGAAAGAACATAAATAGAAAAACCCTTAAAACAAAATTAAACTTTAATAAAACAACACAAAATAAAATTAAGCTAACTTGTGTTAATTCTTGCATTAATTATTTCTATATTGAGCTGAAATTCTAGACTTTATTTAAATGATAAATCGAATTGATAACTTGTTTAATTGTTTAAATAATGTCCTTTGGGTTTGTATTTATTATTTATTTGTATTAATTTAGTCTCTTCAACTTTCACGCGAAAAAAAGTCTACTCACCGAAAATGCCTTTAAGAAGACCAAACACTGTATTATACCCTCCATAGTGTCACCGGTAAGACAAAATGTGCCTGTCAAATGGCGACCCTTACGACCGACAGTAGCCGCCGCCAAGGAGGCATGCACCAAAGCACGCTGTTGTCCTTTAGCGACAGCGCCATTAACGCTTGTTAGCGTGCGCGGTAGTGGAGCAGCGCGCAGTAGACGCTCTAATGAATCCATATCGCAAGTGTAATATTTGTATTTGCTTGTCTTAGTTATGTTAGGTTTTTATGTGTAGGATTTTATACTATTATTATTTGTTTATATGTTATAAACTTCATATATATCTTTAAGTGCACCATGGTGTTTTCTTTTGTAATCGTATAAATCTTTTCACTATTTTATTTATTGTGTTTGGTTGATTTTATATTTTTGGTTTTTGTGCTATTTTACAACAGTAACTTGATGCAGCGTAGTTTTTAATCAATTTTTGTTTTATCTAATAGTTCGTTTTTCAACTTCTACATTTTATTTTTGATTGATTTGTTATTCTAGTTTCTATATATCGTTGTGATCGGTAGCTATGTAAGTAGCCTACATAGCAGGCAATTTTTTTATTTTTTATTGTACCTCGAACTTTTTTTTCTGGTAAGAACTTTGATGCTGGATTAAAAATATTATGTCGTTAGATAGCATAATGAATTTCATTATCACTCGTTCGTTATATTTCAACTTTTCTGGCGACACTTTATTAGTCAGCCGCTCGATAAGGGGATTTTCACTGTTTTTTAGTTTATTTTATTGTTTGCTTATTGATTTCAATATGTTTTTTTTCTTAACTTGATTGGCTAAGTTCGTTCTTATAACCTTTGTATATGCAATAACAATAAATAAATCATTTTTAATATTTTTAAATATACTTCCTTTAATCAAGATGTGAGAAAAGTAGAAAATGGAGCTAAATTAATAAAATATCTTTCCATATTATTACTGTGTACTCTAAATAAATATACATTGACATACAAAAAACATTTTTAAATGTTTATATATATATACATATCTGACGGAGAAAATCTCAAATCTTTTATGTACTTCCATTTAGTTGAAAATTTTTCATTTTGTGTATACTATACAGCGCTTTTAACAAAACAAAAAAGAAACAAAATTCAAATGTTATTTATAAGCAGGTATGAAGTAAATAAAAGTGTTTACATTTTTTTATTTAAAAATTTATTTTATTTTATTTTATTTTATTTTATTTTATTTTATTTTATTTTATTTTATTTTATTTTATTTTATTTTATTTTATTTTATTTTTTTTTATTTTGTTTTATTTTATTTTATTTTTATTTTATTTTATTTTATTTTATTTTATTTTATTTTATTTTATTTTATTTTACTTTATTTTATTTTATTTTATTTTATTAAGTTTTTTTGTAATTAATTAAAAATTTAGAACATTTTTTCTGTAAACGTATGAAAATAATTACTGAATCTGAACAGAAAATTGGAATTCCAGCAATACATCCACAACAACTCGAGCAAATCTCAACTTTACCTTGAGTGGCAAAAATATTGTATCACAAGAATATGACAGCAAAACACTGAAACACAAAACTAAAGATTACTTGGAACTTAATTAAATAATTGTGTATCTAGGTACCAATCGGAAAGGTGAAACTCTCTTCGGCGTGGCGTATAAGCAACTTTTTTACTTGAACTAAATGGTCATATTATTTTCTTTTTAATAATAGGATTACATTTAAAATAAAAGTTATGCATTTATTTTAAAAAAATTTAATTTTCTCTTAAACATTTCACTTGAAAACTTTTTTTATATTCAAAACTATGTTATGACATGTCATAATTTTGAAAACTCCGTAGCACAAACAATAATTTCTCAGTAACCTTTGATTAATTAAATAAATTTTAACAAAGAAATTAATTACTCTGTCTTACGCACCAGCACGTATTTATATATATATTTATTAATTTTTTTTTTTAAATTCTACACAATTTGTTTCAATTTTCCTCTTTCTTTACTTCACTTTAAATACCGCAATACAAACTAAAATACAAATTATCACTTATAATTATGTCATATAACTCACTTCCGTCCCTGTGGCACTCACTAATATACCACAAATTTCCTGTAATTTCGCTAACATTCAAAAAGGCATAAATAATATGCGGTTAGAGCCGCTGCTAGCAACCAACACAACAGCACCAAATATGCAAAAAGTAAAATGTAATTGTGTAAAAAACAAAATATGGACAACACAACGCACAGCAGGGACACTACATAATATTTAGAATATTTTTTTTCCACCATACACATTTGTTGTGCAGCAAATTTTTCACGTCAGCGGAAATGTGTTTAAAATTATGATTTAATTTAAAATGATTATCACGCAGATGAAAAGAATGTGCGACCTAAGTAATGGTGTTGTTCCGAAAGGAAGATAAGACATAAGTGAAATACGACGAGACTGGGTGACAGTATGTCTATATATGTGTTGGTGGATGGAGTGGTTATGCTGGGGACGGTTGCTAATGACTACGCATATTTATGGCATAGAATGAGACGTACATTCATTTCACATGCTTTTACACATGCATACATATATACAATGTATGTGTAAAAGTAAGAAAATGCGAAGTGTGTTAGTAAACAGGTGGCGCAAAGGCGCAAATATTCAATTTATGAGGCGCGAATTTATAATTATGCTGCATAATATTTTGTCTACATTTTTATTGTGGTTTTTAGAATTATTTTATACTGTATTTTTGTGAGAGATATCGTAGTTTTTTTTGCTAATTTTTATTTTATTTTATTTTTGAGAAGCTTTTTATATCAGGTTTTCAAGGCACATATCAAAAACTTTATGATTTTTGTAGGTAAATAATATTTTAATTTTTTAAAAAATGTATATTTCTCTGGAGATTATTGGAGTTTGCTGCGTCAAGTATTTCGGACTTAAAAAAAATTGCATATATTAAAAAAAAATTAACTTTGAGAAAAAAAAATTGTTTAATTTAAAAAAAAAAATTAATTAAAAAAAAATTATTGAACGTTTTAAGGGCTGCAACCGTGTAACAATTTCAAAGTATCGATTTTTTTTGTTTTTGAAATTTTTCGGTAGCCTAACTTTCGTATTCAGCGTTAGTTCAGGCAAGAATTTACACTGTGCCATTAAAAATACCGTCAGATTTTAAGCTAAATTTTTGCTTTGTTTCAAATCAGCGCCATTTTTTTATTGCATTTTTTAACTCAATCGTGGGTCACTTTATAGGTACCCGTAAAACTGTTAGAACGACGGTGAAATAGGTAAATGATTTTTCGAACCCCAGCGGAATAGCGAGAAGAAAGATTTCGATTTAAAAAAAAATGTGTAAAGATACTCTATTTATAGATATATAGATAAATATACGCCTGATACCATAGAATACTCTATGGAGTAGTTTTCTTTAAAAAAAAATACGAAAGAGCACCTTTTTTGCTGTCACAAATTTAAATTACTTAAAATATTTGTATAGTAAACCGTATTAAATGTTAGAAAAATTACGTTCGGAAAATATTTATAGACATGTCAGAATAAAATTTATGTTAAACGGAAGTTAAATACTCAGAACAATGGCAACTTCCGCTTTAGCGATTGCACATATAAAAGCATTTCACCACAGTCGACTCCCCTACTCCGCACTTAATCAATAAAACTACATACATACATTCTGACAAGGCCATTATTCTACATAATAGAGATCTTAGAGTGTGAGTAATTGTAAGGATATTTTGTTGTTTACATCGGAAAAAGAGCGAAACAAAAAAAGGTTTTATTATGATAAAAGCGTAGGCACAAAAAAAAATTGAATGACCGACCAAATGTTGCAGGCAAAACGTGCGAGATATTATAAAAGCAAAAATACGTCAGAAAACACAAACAACAAAGTAATATATCTTCCCTAAAACGAAAACAAAAATACAACCAAATTTTGCTGTCTGGCCACGCAAAAACAAACGCACTGCCATAGTACGAAAACAAACGAAGCCAGCAAGGACATCCTTCAAGGCGCACTAAGCGATCAGCTCGTAAGATAAGGTAATGTGATTTGAATAATGTGAAGGAGATACCCAAAAGACTAAAGGAAAACGACCAAAGAGAAAGTAAGAAATATAAGTAAAACTCAGTAGAAATCCAAAATACGCTACAAAATGCCTGTGATTATACATAAGAGTGGCTTTAGCATGGAGAACGTGTACGATGGAGTGAGTGTGAGAGAGCGTGTAAATTTTCAATGCAACAACGCTGGTGGTGAGTTGACAAAAATGTGTTTAAATTACTTTTGCGACACTTAAGTGGTAAGCTTAGGTAATAAATATGTATATATACAATATATATATAGGGGTATACATTTCGTGGTTTCATATATACAGTTTTGTGTTTTGACATAAGTAAAACTTAATTCTCAAACCAATAATGTTTTGTTTTAGTGTTTAGTTAGAAAATGAATCGCCCGATAACCACGCAGCGCAGAAGAAAGAATTTTAAAATCCACTACAGTAAAGAGCGATTCAACTATGGCCAAGTTCTGTGGCGATATTCCGTACAAAAATTTCTACCGAGAACCTTTTAATTGTTGAAGAGAGATTTTTACATAAAAAAAAAAACAAAAAACTATGAGTCTGGTGCGCTTTTTGATCGACAATGGCGAGACTGTTTTTGGTACTTTGGAGCTTTGTAGTCGTATGATAACTGCCTTCTTTCGGCTTACTATTAAAGAACACGCCTTGGATAGTATCACCGCCACACAGCACTACCGAATATGACTCTTTTGCGAGAGAAATCTAGCGGCGGCGGAAACTCTCATTTTGGCGATGTCAATTGGTCGACGAGATCGTACGATTTTTTGAAACTATGAGTGGTTATGCGGATAAACCTTTGACTCCTGAGCACTTGAAAATCAACACTTGTCAAGTTATGATTGAGATAGCGCCCAATATGTGGCAAAAAATGGTCGAAAATTACCAGGAAAAGCAATCATTTTAATTATGTAGAGTTGCCAAGGTTCAAACTTTATATAAAAAAAATTATGTAAAAAAAAAATTATATAAAAAATATATATTTGAAAAAAATTTCAAAATGCATTTTTAGTAGCATTGGGCAGCCCAATATTTTTTTCAGATGAGCACCCTGCGGCGTTGCCGAAAACATAAGAAGGTCCATGTCCTCAACATTTATTTTATTTCTGAAGCCTGAAAATATTTACCCTAATTGAGGTAAATAAATATTTATAATAGAAAAAAATTTGCAAAAAAAAATAATAATAAAATTGAAAAAAAAAATATTAAATTAAAATAAATTTCTTTTCATTTATTTATATGTTTTACCCAACTTTTCTCTGAGAACACTTACTCTCTTTTTCTGTCAGTGTGTGTTAATATGTGAAAGAAGAAGTATATAAAACTTGAGTTATTTACTTTTCTACCTTCAACTTATTGCTGATAAAGTATTTTACCGCTACCTAGTGTTATCGGCGTCAATAAATTACCTTTCATTCTATTTTGAACTTTTAACACAAATGCTCTTGTTAAAAAGTGCTTCGATTCACAGAAGCAAACTGTTGAGAAAAACGTCAAATGCCAATTTCGGTAATCACAAAAAACTGCGTAAACTTTAGTCATTAATTTTCCAAATTAAATTAATTCGGCCGAAAATCGCTTTAGCGGTTACAAATATATAATAATATATATATATATTATTAAATTATTTAAACTTCGCATTAAGCAACTAAAAATGAAGGAAAAGTACTTATTTGGAATGGCATGAAAATTCTAATGCATTAAAAT